GGGGGGCACTGTTCAGTGATTTGTAGACATACATCAGTATTTTGAACTGGATTCGAAGGTGAACTGGTAACCAGTGCAGTGAGGCCAAAACTGGTGTAATGTGCTCTCTTTTGCCTGTACTGGTTAAAAATGGGGCTGCTGCATTCTGGACCAGTTGTAGTCGTGCAATGGAGGTCTGACTGATACCAAACAGGAGTGAATTGCAGTAATCAAGCCTAGATGTAATGAATGCATGTATTACTGTCTCCAGGTTATTTTTGGACAATATGGGCTTCAGTTCAGACAGCCGCCTCAGTTGGAAGAAACATGATTTAACAAACATGTTTACATGATTGTTAAGTTTCAGGGAAGGGTCCATTATCACGCCCAGATTAGTGACTCTTTGTTTTTCTGACAGGGCTAGAGTGGAGAGGTCGATGCAGTGGTTTGTGATCGTGTCATTGGGAGGGAACAACATGACTTCAGACTTCTTTTCATTGAAACTTAAGAAGTTTAAAGCCATCCAGTCCCTGATGTCAGCCAGGCAGTCGAGCAGAGGCCGAATAGAGCATGTACCTCTTGGGGGAAGTAAATTTGACAGTCGTCGGCGTAGAAGTGAAATGGTATGTTGTGTTTCCGGAAAATAGCACCAAGTGACAGCAGGTATAGAGAGAATAGGAGGGGACCCAGGATGGACCCCTGCGGAACCCCCCATTTAACCTCTGTTGCTGCAGAACTAAAATCCTTGATGGAGACACAAAAGTACAGTACGGTCACCACGGTAACAACATCCTTGTGTCTGTCACTCCCTGACAGTGTTGTTAAAAGAGGCAGGCAGAACCGCAGACCTAGAAGTAAGCCTCAACCAAGCAGTCTTGCAGAACCTATTTGTCATTTCTTCAAATGTCTCGAACTGCGAGCTGCAGAGAGCTCTGCTGGCCTCACACATTTGTCTCAGCTGTGTTTTATGTAGGAAATATTAGTTAAAAAGGCATTTGTTTCCAGTGTTCCTGACTTTATGTATTTATTTTTATTTAAGACTTCTATAACAGAATCGTTACACCCTCACTGAGAGTATCGCTCGGCTTCAGAGCTCCAAGGAAGGCCAGAGTTTCAGCTAACTCTTGAATTGGAGCAAATTTCTCGCCGTTTCTTGCGAACTTGGTTCATCTTCTATGAATTATGGCTTCTGGAAGTCATAGCACATTGTTCTAAATAGTTGGCACGTTTGTTTTAGTTATTTTTATATTTTTATGAAAGCAGACAGAAATCATGAACAAAATAGTAATAAGGGAACTTCAGTGTTTATGTAGCACCCTTAATTGCGCTGTTTGTGCCAGTGGTGTGCGATATTCTGTGATGACACGTGATTACGTTTGTGTTTTTGTGGTAATGGTGGCACACGGAGAGCTTTGTGTTTTCTGAGGTTGTTATAAGAAGTTTAGAAACCACCACTCTAATCTGAAACGCTCAGTTTGAGACCAGTGCATTTTTTGAATTAACTGTTGTGATTTAAATGATGTTGACTATTAATAATAATTCTATAACCACTGCTATCTCTCAAACTGTCTCAAGACACGTGTAGAAATGTTCTGTTCCCTAAAAGCATCAGGCGTCGCTGCTGAAGCTCATCCGAGAGGCGCCGAGAGAAGTTCAAGCTTTAAACGGCCTTCATTCATGTTTTCATCCTCAGCTTTGCCAATGAAGATGGAGTCAGCAGCCGAGGCTCAGCAGGCAGCAGACACTGCTGTGACTGAGACCGAGTGCCAGCAGATCACCCCGGCACAGATCGCCACGTTGGCACAGGTAACCCTAACCTATCAGTTATTAACGATAACAAAAGCCAAAGTGACTGACAGAAAGTCCTCAAACTTCTGCTATTTAGGTGTCCATGGCAGCAGGACACGCTTCAGCTACAGGTCCCACTGTAACGCTGGTTCAGCTTCCCAACGGACAGACGGTTCAGGTCCACGGTGTCATCCAGGCTGCGCAGCCGTCTGTTATCCAGTCTCCACAGGTCCAGGCTGTTCAGGTAAAACACGCCGTCTCTGGGTGCGTTATCTACAAACAACGTTAAGTTTTATTGCCATCTTCCTCTCGTGTGTGTTTGTTCAGATCTCCACCATCGCTGAAAGTGAAGATTCCCAGGAATCAGTAGACAGCGTGACCGACTCCCAGAAACGCAGAGAAATTCTGTCACGGCGCCCTTCGTACAGGTAAAATGCTTCAGAACTGCCGAGGTTGTTCATTATCTGGTATCAAAACCGAGTGCTTTATTGTCCCCCGTCACTAAGCCAAGAGGGGAACTGAAAATATTCTCATTCTCATTATTCATCATTATTCTCATCTGTCTGAGCTGGATTACTTTAAAAATAAGTGACTGCCGACTTTCATTTTGGTGTGTGTCAACATCTAGACGTACGAAGGGTCACTGTCAAAAACTGGGTTGCCACATCAAAATCCAAGATGGCCACCAACATATAAATATGTCACCTGGCCACCCCGATCATTTGAGTAAATCATGCTTTCTGTTTTTTTATATTAGTTTTTTCAAATGATTGAGGTGATCAAAGATTAATCTATATAAATGTCATGTGTTGTCATCATTGTATGTTTCCATACAATGACAAAATTGGCTCTCTGCATTTGACCCATCACACCTGGGATACACCCAGGTGGAGCAGTGGGCAGCTATGTAAGCGCCCAGGGAGCAATTAGGGATTAGGTGTCCTGCTCAGAGACACCACGGCATGTGGGAATGGCTGGGGATCGAACCTGGGACTTTCGGGTTCCAGGTTGGCTGCCCTACCTCTACCCCATCTCGACCCCATATGTAGGCAAGGCCACCATTGGCCACCCCCTGGCTCCACCACTGCACCTGGTAGTGGATAAAATTGCTCCCCCACTCCAGAGTTCGTCACTCTGTTCTGCCTCGGACAAGAACCAAAGGCCTTCTCCACAGTGTAACTCCTATATTCACTTGAATATCTTGCTCCAAAAACATTTAGGTTTACTTTAATCCCCTGTTCAATTCCAGTCCAGAAAAACACTCTTTTCAAAAACTACCAACATTCACTATTTAAAATCCCTCAGTCATCGGCGTACAGCTTAATTGTGAATGACACAAGGCATTTCGTATGCATCTTCTTATTTTCATCTATCCATTTGTTAAATTAATTATAATTCACAACTTTTTAAAAACTTTTTTCCTACCCGTTACTTCCTTTGATCAATAGTTGCTGCAATAAAAAAAAAACACTTTATGTCAGTAAGTTGTGCAGACAAAAGTAAAACGCGCACGTTACCAGGCGAATCTCACGTTTGTTCCTCCCGACAGGAAAATTCTGAACGACCTTTCGTCAGACACGTCGGCCGTTCCTCGCATCGAGGAGGAAAAGGCTGAGGAGGATTCGTCCGCCGCTGCAGCCACGCCCTCCATCACCACCGTTACGGTCCCCACACCCATCTACCAGACCAGCAGCGGACAGTACAGTAAGAGAACCGAGGAGTCTCTGACTGTCACTTACGTATGGTGAAGTTCTAATTAGTATCGATCGCAGCAGAATTTATTTTTCTTTGTATAGAAGTAAATATTTCAGACAAACAATAGATTTTATTGAGGACGACAAAGATAACGTTACCAACACTGATCTATTTTACCTCTACGTTAGATTTATTGTGCTGGATAAAGTTTTACAAGACGATAGCCTATGCTAGGTTATCTAAACGTTAGCTTGCTAACCTGAAAGGCATGTATCTAATGACAAGCAGGTTGGAGGATTGAAGAGATTTTATTGTTGATTTGTTTTACAGATCAGTTAAAATAAACTCACCATGCTCTGTTCAGTAAAATACTCCACACAGAGTTGCTCCCTGCTTCGTCTGTGCTGAAAGTGAAACTTAAGTGAACGGTTTGAGCATGAACCTCGATGACTTGAAAGTAGTCGTCATGCTCCCTCTGTTGGATACATTGCACAATTACGGCTGGTTCCAGCATTTTAGGGGTGAAAATCATTAGTGTTTGTATCGGTGCATAATGGGACAATTATCTCTGATATGTGTCCCCAAACGTCTTATATCGACCTAAAATATCAGACCTATACATCGGTTGGGCTCTAGATTAGTCGCCTCACTGCTCTCCTGTAAGTCTTCTTTTCTTTTGTTTTTGAAAGAGTCCAACTTGAGCTGCATGTTTCTTCAGAATAAGAGAAATTACGTTTAGTGACTTTATCGAACTTAAAAAGAAAACAAAAGAAGCAACTTCACAACAGAAAGAAAGAGACAGTCAAAAGTCTGTTACTCTCCGCTGCAAGACTTCTGCTCTGCTGATGCCTTCCACGCTTTTATATTACAAATTCAGCAGCCAATCAAAATGCACCACATAATAAGCTTATATAATATGCAGAAGTTATTTATCCCATTCTTTTAACACACTAACCAACTATTATTCACAGAAATAACTTGTAAAAATAGCATATTTTGCATTGTTTTCAACTCCTTGGTATAAACGACTTACGTCAGCTTTATGTGCTTCGATGTCTCGTTTCTTATCCGTCTCTCAAACCAAACAGTTGCGATCACGCAAGGCGGGGCCATTCAGCTGGCTAATAACGGCACAGATGGAGTCCAGAGCCTGCAGACTCTGACCATGACCAACGCTGCAGCAGCTGCCGCCCAACCTGGAGCCACCATCCTGCAGTACGCACAGACCAGCGACGGACAGCAGATACTGGTTCCCAGCAACCAGGTGGTGGTCCAAGGTGAGCACGGGCTCCTCCATGTAAAAACTTTTCTGAACGTAAAATAAAACGTGTGCCCACCTTGGCTTGTAGCAACCTCCGGCGACGTCCAGGCCTATCAGATCAGAGCAGCCCCTGCCAGCACCATCACCCCTGGAGTGGTCATGGCCTCCTCGCCCGCGCTTCCTACTCAGGGTGCCACGGAGGAGGTCACCAGGAAAAGGGAGGTCCGCCTCATGAAGAACAGGTAAAGGTAGAACTTGAGACCCAAAGCTGAAAAAGTGTTGTGAAGTAGAAAATGAACATATTTGTTGTGTTTCCGTGACTCCCAGTAGTGAGTATAACGCCGCGCCGAGTCTTCTCAACCCAAACCGTAAGAGAGAAACCTGACAGTGTCTCGTCCTTTTACAGAGAGGCAGCTCGCGAATGTCGCAGGAAGAAGAAGGAATACGTTAAATGTCTGGAGAACAGAGTGGCCGTCCTGGAAAACCAAAACAAGACTCTTATTGAAGAACTGAAAGCTCTTAAAGACCTTTACTGTCATAAATCAGAGTAGTTCATCCTACAAACACCAAGCTGGGCCAAGTAGTATTTAAATTTATTTCACGTACTTTCTGACTGATTCTTCCTGCCATGGTTGGTCTTGTTGTTTTTTTAAATCTGAAAGTCACTCCATCAAGCTCGAATTCAGGCTAACAGTACAATGAATTAAAAGACATAAAGTATATTATCATTCAGGAAGAGTAACCATTAGAAAAGTGCCAATTAAAACTCGGTACTCTAAATCAATTACAATCTTTTCAAGTGTTACAGGGTGCAGCTGCGATCATGTTGAAATGTCTGAGCTCCATCGAGTAGTTTGGGCCAGCCCCCGTATTAGTTTGCACATCGTTACGTTCGTAGCCATTGTTGCAGTTGTTTATTGGAAAAGGTGCCTGATTCAGACGAGCTTGAAGAAAAAACAGCTGGACTGCCTTTCGTGTTTCTTGGAGAAGCTTCACCTTTTCATCAGAAAAGCTTCTGTTCTGATTAAAGCTTGGGCTTTTTGGGCTTAAAGGTCAAAGGTCGATCTATTTTGGAGCGAAGAGGGTGAATTGGAAGTACGCTTCCGTTTGGCCGTACGTGCACGTTGTGAGCACGGTAACTTGAAAAATAAGCGAGGTACCGACTTTGGCGTGTGGCTGCATCTAGGCGTAAGAAAGGTTCTTATTGGAAAATTAAGTCCCACGTCAAAATCCAAGATGGCCGCCATCATATATGTGTGTAAACCGGCCACTCCAGTCAAGAGGAAACTGCTTTCTAGTTATATTACAGTGTAGTTTCCTCAAATGATTGGGGTGGCCGTTGGGCTGGTTGAAGACTAATTTATGGGGATCGAGGCCACCACTGGCCACCCCATGACTCCGCCACTGCGCCTGGTGGTGGAGTGGTGCTTCGTCCGCTCACCAGGATCCGTCACTCTGCCTCAGACACAAAAAGAAACAAACGTACTTTTTGAAAATTTTGTTTCCACGTCAAAATCCAAGAAGACACACTCATACAAATGTAGTTTACCTTGTGAGCTGGGATAGGATGGAAGGATTTGATCATGCGCTGCTCGGGCTTGTGCTGCTTCCTCTTTGGGAAATCCACAGCTTTCTTCTGGTTCTAGATCTTTAAAATGGAACGGCTCAAAACGAGGCGTTTTTACCGTCAAACGCTCGGTGGCAGATGTTTGAGAGAGTGAACGAATGTTAGACACGAAGAAGCTCTTCACATGAGAAATGAAACATCTTTGATGCTATCGGTAAATCTGCTCAGAACTACCAGCATGGGGGGTCTTTTTTTTTGGTGGGGGTCGTTGTCTTAGTCCGGTTAAAGATGAGTGTCGTATCACAGGCCAGCCTGCTGAATTTCAACTTTCATTTGTAGTCGCCACGAACAAACTCTGCTTAGACCCGAAGCGCGTTTAAGTCTCGTCTTAGCCTCTTGTTAGCAACTTATTGCTGTGGTTTCATTTATTCAGAATTTCAGCTCAGCAACGACGTTTTAGGGTGTCCTACCGTGTGATTTCATAAATTTCAGACTTTATTTTTACAATTAGCTGTGGTGCATTTTCTCTTGCGAGCCAAGACGACAGCAAGAAGACTTGGTTTATTAGAAGCAGTTTCATATCAGCTTAGTGGAAAATCGTTCGGTCTTTGCTAATTCAGCGTTTGGGACTTGTTACGGTTCTTGACACGGCATTCTCAGAAGACGATTTCATCCGATTCAATTTCAAGTCCGAGCCGAGGCACTCCTGCAGTCTTAGAGTCTCGGTCAGTTGCGGTTGAGTCCTTTTAGTGAATGTTGAATATCACGGCACGCCCTGATGCGACACCACCAACAAACAAATTTGCGTGTAATTAGGCGTAGCTTGTTTACTTTTTAAAGTATTTTTGAACGACGATGTCAGCGGTTGTATTTGTTAAAGGAAGAAGAGTCGCGGCTCAACGTCCCACTTTCCTGTTTAGCCGATACGTTTTTCTGCTTCTCCACCAGAAACCCGTTTTAAAACTAACTACAGTAGATCAGTCTCTCGTACGATTTTAAAAGTCAAAAGGCCTTCTTCACACAGGATGACGACCTCGCTAAACTTTATGGACATTTCAGGGGTGGGCATCATATTTTTACCAAATCAAGTTATTTAAATCAACCGATGGGATGTATGGAAAATTGGAAAATGAGTTTCCCTAAAGACAGATAATCTGAAATACTTTTTTAGCCTTTTTGTAGTATAGGAATGTTTCCCCAAAACTGGCTCTTGTGACAAAATAATGATAAATAATTGTTAGATTAAACATGCAAAAATAAACAAACATGTTTGCTATTTGGAGTCTTTAAGGTTTAGTCTAGAGCTGACAACTAAAAAAAGACTGAGCCTATCATAATCCAAGTTTTTCATACGTTTGTTGAAGACGTTTAATTTAAACTTTGATAGGATGCAGGTTTTCTTCAACTTGTTTAAAAGTTTCCTGATGCTGCTCAATAATCCAGGTAGAAAAATGTATAAAAGTTCAGTCTGGTCCTCTGGACATTGAAAAAACAAACAAACACAAAAAAGCAGAAACGTTTCGTCTTCTTTCATCCGAAAGAACACGAAACGTTTCTGCTTTTTTTGTTTTGTTTTTTGAATGTCCAGAGGACCAGACTGAACTTTTATAGATTATTTAAAAGTTGCTTCTTTCAGTTAAGGATATTGGGGGCCAGACGGAGATTGTCTAAGGGCCAGTTTTGGCCCTCGGGCCGTAAATGTCCCGCGTGTGTTTTAGAAGGTACATGGATCGTGGCTTTTCCAAAAGACCTACTTGATCTCGGTGGGATTTGCCTGGTCAAATAAAAGTTGAGCGTAAATAAAATAATGTCACAGTTCCACCCTTGGTACTGACCAAATAACTTTTACCTCCCTGTTTTTCTCTTTCTTGCATCCCCATCACACTTTATACAGCCATCGTTGACTAACGCTAAAAGATCACGCAGGTGAACAATGTTATTTCCATGAGCGTGGCGCAGTCTATTTTTTATTCTTTCGGCTGCTCCTTCCACAACAAACTAACTCACATGACGATTTGGTGATTGTTTTTATGCCGACTGCCCTTCCTGACGCAACCACAGACACCGAGCTGCCACAGCCTCTGTGTGGAGCAGAGAGCTGCATCTAGGACATCCGAGGGAGGAGATGGTGGGAGTTAAGGGCCTTGCTCAAGGGCCCAGACACGAGCAAATGTGGGTGGAGGCAGGTGTGGGTGTTTCACCTTTCTCACCCACACTTTCATGTTGTTGGTTCGGGGTTCCTCCACATCGAAAGGAGCCACTTGAGGTGGTTCGAGCATCTGGTAAGGATGCTCCCTGACCGCCTCCCTAGGGAGGTGCTTGGAGCACGTCCAGCTGAGGAAGACCCAGGACACGCTGGAGAGACCACGTCTCTGTTGGTCTGGGAACACCCTGGAGTCCTCCCAGGAGAGCTGGAAGAGGCTGTGGAGAAAAGTCTGGACCTCTCTGCTCAAGCTGCTGCCCCCGAGACCTGACTTTGGGATAAGTGGAAGCTAATGGACGGACGGACGGTTCGGGGAGTTGACCCAGCAACCTTCCGTTCACAGGCTTGCCGTCTCTAGCCTCTGCGCCACCACTCCCCCCATTCTCCTTATTCTTATATTCTTGTCTGAAAAAAGTCACAGATCCTCCTTTTTTATTGTTACTAGACGTCCGTCGTCAGACTGGACGTATCACGTAATGCCTTTGTACGTACGCCTGAAAACGTTCTCTCGTTTTGTAACTTCATACAAATATGCATCGTCACAAGACGAGTGTCGCGTTTCATCACCCAGCTCCAAGGTCAATGTCACAAATCAAGGTCAAAGATAAAGCAAGGCTTGTCCGGGTCATTGATTGCCGTTTGCAGCACTTTTTTTTTATTTTTACGTCCCTCGGGGTCGTCGCTCAGTGGGAGGGGCTTTAGGTGTAACACATCACGTGTGTTCAGGTATGACAACACGCTGACTCACAACCATTACAGTCAAACTGGTTCAAACCAAGATGTAGGGTGTAAATTTGGGATCCGGCGTCATTTCATCACAGCCATTAAACAAAATTACACTTTTATGTTATTCTTTATTTTCAGTATTCTATTTTTTTTCCATGTTTGTGATGACGTGATATGTGGATTGTGACAATTTACTAAAATACAGTGTCTTTTTTTAAATCATGTAGCAGGTTAAACTTGGCTACGACTTCCTGAGTAACAAACTGTACATATCTTGTTGGGGGGGGGGGCATCACTTTAGTGGGGCTGTGTGTGGAGAAGAAATGTGAGTGTGTTTATATTTTATATTACTGTACATAGACTCTACAGCATGTGTAGACCACATATTTAGTTTATTTGATATGAAAAAAGTTCTTATGCTTGTATGAAGCCAACTTTGCATATTTGTAATATACTAAAGCGGTGTGTGTGTGTGTGTGTGTGTGTGTGTGTGTGTGTGTGTGTGCGTGCGTGCGTGCGTGCGTGCGTGCGTGCGTGCGTGCGTGCGTGCGTGCGTGCGTGCGTGCGTTCATGTAAGGCCTACCAGCGTCGTGGCAGCTAGTAAGTAAGAAGGCCTGTGTTGGACTTTTATGTTGGAGCGTTGTAATCAGAAGAGTTTGTAGAAAGCGGGAGTTGAGATCTACTTGGAAAATGTTCTTGTTTACGTTCTGAACTCTTTAATTTGTTTATTTTTAATCTTTTAAGCAAATGTTGCTCCCTCACCAAAAGTTTTATATCATTTTAATGAAAGCACAAATGTACTGTTTATTTTACTACATTACTTCATATTTTCTTTTGTTCTTGCTTCCAGAGGTAGACTACATGTTTGTGAAAATCAAACTTTGATCGACTTTAAACACAGGCGTTTGACTTTTTAGGAGAAAATAATTCTTATCAGTGACTTTGGTAAAATAAGATAAGATAGAACTTTATTGATACAGAAACGTTTTAAATTTAGCACTTACATTAAAACACAAAAAAGGGTTAAATCATATCTGGACAGATTATTTTAGGGAGAAACTTTCATCCTAAAGACCTGATCGGTGTGAGGCCTGCCGCCCACATCTGTCGTACAAACGGCACCTCGCTGATGTGCTTCAAATGAGCCTCTATTCACTTTTATTTTTTAAATCACAGTGTGGTTTAAATAAATCAATTGGGAAATAAACAGACTCGTTGTTTATCTTGTTGCATTGCATCTAAGATTTAATCTTGAAAACTTCAGTTTATACTATTGTAATAAATACATGAGAAGAAATTAAATGTTTTCAAATCAAAAGTAAAAACTTTTAACAGGTACTTTGACTTTACCACAGTTTGGAGCTTAATATCACAGAACTGTTAAATACTAATGCCTTTATGATTTTTAACAAACTAAAACCAAAATTTATGGTTAATTTCTTGTAATTTATCGAACTTTGTGCTCTACTTGGACATTTTCGTGGATTTTTGATTTCGGTGCTGGATGAGTTTGAAACCAGTACGTGATCAATTTATCGATTGCCACTTTATCCCATTATGAACATAAATGCCATGTATTGTATAAAATTCACCCAATGATGCTTTTCATATTGTTTTTGTTTTACCACTGTCCGGTTGCAACGTTGTATCTGCCCGTAAGTTCAAAGTGCTGTTACTCTGATAATACTTCACTCTTTTGTAAACAATTGCTGTGTCAATAAATTGCTCTTGAGTATTTTCTAGTGTTTTAATCATATTTACTCGTTTAATTCATGCTGTATATTCATGAACCATAACGACACTACAATTGTGAGTTTCTTAATTATTTGTATTTGGCGGTACGGCCTCAGCAAGAAAGTTGCCGAATCGAATCCCACCTTTCTGGGTGGAGTTTGCATGTACTCTACACATACCAACAACATGCATGTTAGGTTAATTGGTAACTTTTAATTGTCACTTTTAATTGCATGAGAGTGTGAAACATCTCATCTGGTGTGTGTATGTATATATACCAGTATATATTAATTTATATATCCATCTATTATATATGAATGAAAATATTATGTATAAGACTTGCCTCCTTTAGCTGCTATAGCTATAAAAATGTTTTAATCTGTTGTAAAAGTAACGTTTTTTGGCTAAACTGTGCAGCAGATAATTTGAATGCTCTGATTATTATAATTTTTTTATTATTATTTACAAAATGGTGAATAAGACAAATTTTATGAATAGACAAACCTTGTGTGTATGGTATATATTCTGTTTAAATTAAAGATGAATGGGTTGATTGACAGGTGGTGGAGGGGCTTCAGCTTTCACTGTCAAAAAAGGGTGACGGTACAAAAATAGTAGCCTCGTAAACACAAATCACTTTTGACTGGCAGGTCCTTCGACCAATGAGGGGCTTTCAAATGTTTGTTTTGGTTTGGTATAGCCAATAGAATTGAATGGAATTTCAAAGTGGGCGGGCCTACAACATTCCATTGCCTGGGAGTATCACTGATCTCCGGCAGGCAACAGATGGCGGCGGCAGAAAGTGCGTTTGCTTGCGGCTCTAATCTGTCAGGGTGGAGGCGTCTGGATCAGCTTCTAGAATTGGGTTTTTAATGGTGTCAATGGAAGAAACCAAGTTAGACTATCTTAAGTGAAAATTATTTTCTCAACACCAGTTGTTATTCCGCTTTTTAATTTGGATTTCTCCCAAGAGGCCGCAGAAGCCTCGGACTCGATTTAGTAAACCCACGGAGCCGAGCGGGAGGAGACGCTAGTGGAATTGTTTTGAAAAGTCTCCTAAAACGCAATTGACAACGCTTATAGTTCGGAAGTCCTACACTACGTGTTTTCTTGGCGTCAGTTCTGCTAACAATCGCGAAAAAGAACCAGTAATGCGGCGAAGAGAAGTTCAGGAGACGAGCTAAATGCTAGTTAGCTTCAAAGTAGCGGCGTTGAATGAATGAATAAGTCGACCAGCTGGATTTAAGTGACCGCGTACTGCCGAGAACGTCCAATATCCCTGTCCCCGATTGTTTTCCACCCAAGCGAGCCTTTGTGGGGAGTTGTCCCTTCACTTTTATCCACAAATCGATCGGAATGCGGCGCTCGGAAGTTGGAAAGCGGCATTTTAGCAGAGTCAGTGTGGCGGAACTCCCCGTTGTCTCCTAATGTTTATCACACCCAGGGAAGCTAGCTAGCTAGCCGCGGGTTGAAGGCACTTCTCCGGTTATCGGGCGGTAACAGCGTCACGCTCACATCCAGTTTGGGAATGGGGAATTCAGTGTCGTGCTGCGTCTCTCCGGAGTCGAGCCCCAAACTTCCGTCGAGACAAGCCCCGGAGCGGCTGGAGGAGCTCCACACCAGCACGGAGGTGAGCGACGACAACACGGTGCCCTACCTGCAGCACATCAGCGACAGGGAGCTCCTGGACGGTACGTGTCCACCTGCACAATGTTCACCTGCTCATTGTTCACCTGCACAGTGTTCACCTGCTCAATGTTCACCTGCACAATGTTCACCTGCACAATGTTCACCTGCACAGTGTTTTACCTGCACAGTGTTCACCTGCACAGTGTTCACCTGCTCATTGTTCAC